AGTATTGCACATTAAATTTGTAAGATCTTTGACCACATTTATTTTGTGTCAGAAACCTATATTATGTCAAAAATTTGATCACAATCCAAATTCAGATAGTATCAAGCTTGAATATTGTGTCCAAATTTGCCCCAAATGTTCAGGGTTCGACCTCTGAGGTCGTATCAGGCTGCGCTCAGCGAAGCATTTTATTGGCCCTTAAAATTGAAAAAAATATGGCCCTGTCCAGCACCTACCCTTTCATCACAACTTCTCCTTCATGGTTTTATCATATCTACATGGAAGTGGTACATTGTTAGATTTTAATATGCAGTTGAACATGTGAGTAGGATATTCCTGTAAATTGAGGTTTATTTTTAGAGAAATGCCCCATTGAACTTAATAATATTGGTCCTCAAAGATTTTTCATCATATCTGTATAAAAATGAGTGTATTGTTAGATCCTGATATACAAACATATGGTCTGAGGATACAGTTATCGTCCTTAGATTTTCGTTGATATACAAATATAGTCCCTAGTGTGGACAGTGTATAACTTGCAAATTTTTTTCATACACTTTCCAAATTTATTTCTTTATATTTTATGCATGAAATATTTAGTAAGGGGGTGATATTACATGTTAAAAAAATTTGGGTGCTGAATCTTTATGTTAAGTAGTGATTTGGTCCAGTTAAAAAAGGTCAAAAACTAGTATGTCTGAAGCTGTCAAACTGAATTTTAGACCCCCTTAACATAGAATTGTCAATATTTTGAGTAAGAGCTGGTAGACTTTTCTATAATTTTGATATTATTTGTCCAAATAGTAGTACACTACACTGTAAAATCTTTTTGAGATAGAGCAGGTGCGATTTTTTATGTCCCCGCCGTAGCGGAGGGGGCATTAAGTTTTACCCTTGTCCGTCTGTACGTACATCCGTCCGTCCATACGTCCGTACGTCCCAAAGTTGGTTTCCATTCTGTAACTTTAGTTTGCCTCAACCAAATGATATGAAACTTATACACAATGCTTATTACCACAAAACACAGATCAAGTTTGAACTTTGGTAGCGTCACTTCAACCGTTCTAGAATTATGCCCCTTTATAAATGAAAAAAATGGAAAATTTTTAGTTTCCATTCTCTAACTTAAGTTTGCCTCAACCAAATATTATGAAATTTATACACAATGCTTATTACCACAAAACACAGATCAAGTTTGAATTTTGGTAGCGTCACTTCAACCGTTCTAGAGTTATGCCCCTTTATAAATGGAAAAATTGCTAAATTTTTAGTTTCCATTCTCTAACTTAAGTTTGCCTCAACCAAATGTTATGAAACTTATACACAATGCTTATTACCACAAAACAAAGATCAAGTCTGAATTTTGGTGGCGTCACTTTAACTGTTCTAGAGTTATGCCCCTTTATAAATGGAAAAATTGCAAAATTTTTATTTTCTTCTAAATATCAAGTAATTTATTAAATTGGAGTTATCTTCCTTTGTCCATGATTATAGTTTAATCAACTACAATCAATGCTTTATACAATGCAATGTTTAATTTTGACTTCCACTGATAAAACACAGATCAAGTTGAATTTGGGTAGTGTCACTTTAACCATTATTGAGTTATGCCCCTTTTTAAATCGAAAGATTGCAAAATTTTTAGTTTCCATTCTGTAACTTAAGTTTGCCCCAATCAAACATTATGAAACCTATACACAATATTCATTACCACAAAACTAAGATCAAGTACAATTTTTTTGTTTCCATTTTCTAACTTTAGTTTGCCTCAACCAAATGTTGTGAAACTTATACACAATGCTTATTACTACATAATACAGATTAAGTACGAAATTTGGTGGCGACACTTTTACCATTCTTGAGTTATGTCCCTTTATAAACATAAATATTGCTGAATTTTTTGTTTCTGTTCTCTAACTTTAGTTTGTCTCAACCAAATGTTATAAAACTTATACACAACCGCTCTAGATAGAGTTATGCGTGTTTACAAATAGAATAATTGCCGAATTTTTAGTTTCTGTTCTCTACTTAAGTTATCCTCAACCAAATGTTATGAGAGTACACACAATGCTTATTACCACAAAACTCAGATCAAGTTCAAATTTGGGTAGCGTCACTTTTACCGTTCTTCAGTTATGTCCCTTTATAACTATATGATATGCAAGAGGGGCATCATCTGTGTCCACATGTGGACACTATCCACATTTATTTAATTTGACTTTATTTTCTAAAAGAAATGCACTACGAAATAACTATGTTCTCGGGCCATATGCATGAATGTACTAAAAAGTGTGAACATGCATCTGAGACAACAAATAATGAAACATTACACCATATTTATATTATCCTCTTCTTTGATTTCCTCTATTTAAGTCACTAGCATATCTCAATCTAGGATGCAGGCGGTATTTGTCCAACTTAGCAGAAAGTTCTAGTGTTGCATCAATGGTTGGTCTTTGGAATGGAGATTTAATATTGATGCTTAACTTTTAATTCTAGATAATATTGGATGTGTACTTTGTAAATTTTTAGTTAAATTGTTTGAATAAAAATTATCACTTTTCATTTTACGACATAAATCTGAATTATTCCAACCAATTTTACATTTGAGAAATAGCTCTGTTCTGTAACTATCCATATACAAGTTTTACGTTGAAAGTGATGATAAATTGCTGTTCTATCGGACATAGGACATTTTGTCTTGAATGCTAAAAACAGGGATTACAATCTAAGGTCAATGCCGTAAACTGTTTGTTTAAATCTTAATATTTCAGAAGGTAGGAGACCTGTATCATAGCAGCCATTATTTGGCCCTTAAAATTAAATTTGAAAGTAGTAAATTTCTTCAATTCTTTCCATAATTTTTTGTAGAAATGCCAGTTGTTGTGTCACCATGTCAATGTACATGATCATGTGTGATGACAAATTTGACACAAGATGGCCGTTGTACACATATATAAATATTAGCAACAGTCTTACCCAAAATTATATTTTATCCAAATCAACATGTTTTTAGGCAAAATATCTTTTTGGGTAAGACTGTGGCTGATATCTCAATATTAATGAAAAGATCTCAAAATGAGGCTTTTCTTACAACTTTTGCAATTTTCATTTTTGAAGCCCAAAAAGCAAAAAATGCAGAAAAAATTCAAAAATGTTAATACTGATATAGATCTGTCAGAGTAATGTTTTGTTAAAATCTAAATAATGTTTTTATGCCTCACCTGGGGGCATTATGTTTTTCGGTCTTTGCGTCCGTTCGACCTTTCGTTCGTTCGTCCGTCTATCCCGCTTTAGGTTAAAGTTTTTGGTCAAGGTAGTTTTTGATGAAGTTGAAGTCTAATCAATTTGAAACTTAGTATACATTTTCCCTATGATATGATCTTTCTAATTTTAATGCCAAATTAGAGTTTTGACCCCAATTTCATGGTCCACTGAACATAGAAAATGATAGTGTGAGTGGGGCATCCGTGTACTATGGACTCATTCTTGTTTGATATGTTTCAATATAAAAAAAAAGATGTGGTATGATTGCCAATGAGACAACTCTCCACAAGAGACTAAATTAATGCATTAATCCACTTTTACATAAACCCATTAGGAAAAACAAAGTAATGTATAACAGCACACAGTACAGAAACATGAATTGGTAACAAAAGGACTAAAATGTCAAATACTGTATGCAACAGTCTGGTTCTCTTTTGATACTAGGATAAATTCAAATACTAAGGAATGGAAAACAGTTTCCAAATGACAAAAACTGATCAATGATATTTTGTATAAAGTTGCATTACTTTCAGTACATATCAGTTTGACGACTATTTTGAGGCCCTGCCTTCTAGGTAATGGTCAAGTGACTTTGAATTAATTATTAATTTTCAATGTTAAGTTTTCTGCTTAAGTTAGTTTAATAGGAACTACTTGCTATAGATCAATGATATATTTAGTATAAAGTTGCATTACTATCAGTTTGATGACTATTTTGAGGCCCTGTCCAGTGACTTTGAATTAATTATTAAATGTTAAGTTTTCTGCTCAAGTTAGTTTGATAGGAACTACTTGCTAAAGATCAATGATATATTTAGTATAAAGTTGCATTACTATCAGTACATATCAGTTTGACAGCTATTTCCATGCCCTGCCCCCTAGGTCATGATCCAGCAACTTTGAATTAATATCAATGTTGCTGTCCATCAGATTGTCTTTTTGAATTTTCTGCCAACAGGTGAGACATATTTCAGTGTCAACAGTTTATTCAAGACATCAACAACTTTATTAAACATTCATGAAATTTACAAACCTAGACAGAAGCTTCTTTATGATCCAGAGACAGCATCCAGATCACAATTATAAGTGAAAAATATTTTCCTTCGTTTTTTTCATATTTTACCGTGCTTAAATAGACTTAATTTTGCAGTTAACTTTTTGATAGTCTGGAGTATAAAAGATTTAGACATCAATAACTTTTACAACTCTTAAAAAAACCCATCACAAAACAATACCTGAATAAAAAATATATGTCAAATTAATTGTTACTCAATATATATCAATTTTTGTTAATGAAAACATAATTGATTATTGAAATCAATATGCTTTTAAAGATAGATAATAAATCATTATAGCTCCATTACTTTTGTTATAGTCATTAAAAACTAAAAATACACTAACTGCAATTATATAGCAAACAAAAATTGTCAACATAAAAAACATTGAAACCATAAAGCTCTTAGTAATTCTTGACTTTGCTATACCCTGTATAGACAATTGCCCCTATTGTATAATTTGAAATATCTGCCACAAAAAAGTAAAAAGTACATTTTGATTTTCAGTCGAAAGAAAAATTCACAGGTAAAATTGAAAAAAAACAGAAAAATGTTTTGGTGCTGACTGATTACATAGCAGCACACATGCAGGCATCATTATTCACAGATCCTATTGGAATGTTGTTTCAGTTGACTTCTGAAAATTCTGTATCATGTTACAATTTTCTTCATCTTCAGGTAAAAGCCATAGAACAAGTTGACTCAGTGTTGACATCAAAGCAACAGATAGACAGACTTCACAGACCTGGCTCAACATATTTTAATCTAAACCCATTTGAGGTATAGTATTTAAAGTTTCAGCTGAATGGAAAAAATCCTTCCATGTAGAAAAACAATGAATGTAGAAAAATGGTGAAAAAAAAGGTTGGATTTCTTACAAGATAAAACAAGAGGTTGGGGTTATACATCATTCAGACAGTAACCCAGCAGTACAAAAAAACATTAACTATTTAAGAGGTCTTTTCATTTTGGTTTAAATGATGCTTGTTTTTGTAATGAAGTCTGAAAACTAGTATTCATGACAGTGAGTTTTATCGATGAAGGAAATCCAACTACCGGTATTACCTCACAAACTAAAACATACAATGAAATACATATATTCATAACTTGCACACATTGCTGATTTTGTAGATAACTTGAGTTAGTCTCAAGCCCATACAGTAAAGAGATTATAAACTGACATGTTCTGTACCAGTAGACTTTGAGCATTTATTAACTCCCAAGAGCCACATTCCCAATGGATTGATAGATAATTTCAACATGAATTTACAGTTTATGTCAAGCTGGCTTGACTTTATACCCCCCACAAACAAAGTTAGGTGGGAAGAAAGGAAACAGCCCATATGTTCTGACTTACTTTTTATACGACCGCAAAAATTAAAAAATTTTTGGTCGTATATTGGTATGACGTTGGCGTCGTCGTCGTCCGAAGACACATTGGTTTTCGCACTCTAACTTTAGTTTAAGTGAATGGATCTCCATGAAATTTAAGGTTCAATACCACAAAAGGAAGGTTGGGATGGATTTTGGGGGGTTATGGTACCAACAGTTAAGGAATTAGGGGCCAATAAGGGGCAAAAAAAAAGGCATTTTTGTAACTTCCAGACATAACTTGTGTGTTAGTGTATGGATCTCTCTGACATTGTACCACAAGGTTCCATATCACAAAGGGAATGCTGGGATTGATTTTGGGGGTAATTGCCTCAAAATTTTAGGAATTAGGGGCCAAAAAAGGGGCAAAAAACAAGAATTTTTCTAGTTTCAAGATAATAACTTGTGTGTAAGTGTATGGATCTTTCTTAAATTGAAGTACAAGGTTCCATATCATAAAGGGAAAGCTGGAATTGAGTTTGAGGGTAATTGCCCTAAACGGTTAGGAATTTGGGGCCAAAAAGGGGCCAAAAATAACATTTTTCTAGTTTCCAGACAATTACTTGTGTTCAAGTGTATGGATCTCTTTGAAATTGTACTGCAAGGTACCATTCCACAAAGGGAATGCTGTGATTGAGTTTGGGGGTGATGAATCATAAAAGGGTTCAAAAAATTTAGGGGAGGGATTTTTTTTTTCTTTAAAATTTTCCATTTTAAATTGGTTATTTCTGATTTATATATAAAAGCAAATAATAATGATATGGTTTGAATAGGTAAATTAAAAAATTTTAAGTTCTTAGACCACATTCATTCTGTGTCAGAAACCTATGCTGTGTCAAATATTAAATCACAATCCAAATTCAGTGCTGTATCAAGCTTGAATGTAGTGTCCATACTTGCCCCAACTGTTCAGGGTTCGACCTCTGCGGTTGTATCAAGCTGCGCCCAGCGGAGCATTTTATTATCTTTTGTTTGATTCCCCAAAAAACTTTGTAGAATAATTGATCATGATATGCAAACACCACCATTTGAAGAATAATTGAATTTGTCAAGTTTTCCAGAATTATGCCCCTTTTACCATAGAAATGTTGACCCTAGCTATGTTATACAATGATATCCCTATCAGAACTGACCTTGTCATCATAACTCATCATACATAGTTTATCATATCCACATGAAACTTAGCACATTGTTATATTCTTATACAGATATGCATATGGCTAGGATGTTCCTGTTGATTGAATCATTTTTAGAGTTATACCCATTTCAAATTAGATATTTTTGGCCCTGTCCAGTTCTGACCTTGTCATTGCAACTTCTACATATTTTATTGTATCTACTTAAAACTTGGTTATTGTTAGATTCTTATCTTTAGATGTGCATCTTGATAGAATCCTTTATTGAGTTCCAGTCATTCAGTTTTCCTAGAGACATGCCTCTTTGAAGTAAAATATTGTCCTGTCCAGCACCTACCCTTTCATCACAACTTCTCCTTCATGGCTTTTGTTTCGCCTGTGACGAAAGTCTCAGTATGTGAGACTTAGGTATTACTATCCAGTGGCGGCAGCAGCGTAAACTATTTGTATAAAGCTTTATATTTCAGAAGGTAGAAGACCTGGATGCTTCATATCTTGTATGCAGATACCTTATGTGGCGAAGTTTCCATCTGTCATTATGTCCATTGTCCTTGACCTCATTTTCATGGTTCAGCAACTGCTTGAAAAAAAAGTTAAGATTTTTTATAATGTTAATTTCTCTCTTATCATGAGTAATAAGATAATTATATTTGGTATATGCGTACCTTACAAGGTCCTCATGCTTGTCGGACAGTTTTCACTTGACCTCCACCTCATTTCATGGATCAGTGAACAAGGTTAAGTTTTCGTGGTCAAGTCCATATCTCAGATACTATAAGCAATAGGTGTATTTGGTGTATTGAATGATTGTAAGGTGTATATGTCTGTCTGGCAGGTATCATCTGACCTTCACCTCATTTTCATGGTTTATTGGTCAATGGTCAGTTTTCCTGGCTAACTTTGTTTCTTAGATACTTTAAGCAATAGGTCAACTATATTTGATGCATGGAATAATTTTAAGGTGTACATGTCTGTCTGGCAGGGTTCATCTGACCTTGACCTCATTTTCATGGTTCATTGGTCAATATAAAATTTCCATGGTTTGGTCTGTTTCTTTTATACTATAAGCAATAGTTCATCTTTATTCGGTGTATGAAATGATTGTATTAAAGGTGTACATGTACTTCCGGCTTGGTTTATCTGATCTTGACCTCATTTTCTTGGATCATAAATGTTACTGTGATACTTGTAGTAAAACTTTATATTTAGGACTATCAACATAAAATCAATGGTCAGTATAGTAGGTGAGACATTTCAGCGTGTGCACTCTTGTTCAATTACCATAAGCAAAAGGTCAACTATATTTGGTGTTTAAAAAAATTGTGTAAGGTGTATATGTCTGTCTGACAGGATTTATCTGACCTTGACCTCATTTTCATAGATCTTTGAAAATGTTAAGTTTATGTGATACTTTTAGTAAAACCTTTATCTTTAAGACTTTCAACATAAAATCAATGGTCTGTAAAGCAGGAGAGACATTTCAGCATGTGCACTCTTGTATCATATCTACATGGAAGTGGTACATTGTTAGATCCTAATATGCAGTTGTACATGTGGGTAGGTATATTCATGTAAATTTGATTATTTTTAGAGAAATGCCCCATTAAACTTAATAATTTTGGCCCTGTCCAGCTCCTACCTTATCATCACAACTCCTCAAAGACTTTAAGCAATAGGTCATTTATATTTTGTGTATGGAATGATAGTAAGGTGTACATGTCTGTCTGGCAGGGTTCATCTGACCTTGACCTCATTTTCATGGTTCATAAGTTGATGTAAAGTTTTCATGGTTATGTTTGTTTTTCAGATGCTGTAAGCAATAGGTCAACTATATTTGGTGTATGGAATGATTGCATGGTGTACATGTCTGTCTAGCATGGTTCATCTGACATTGAACTCATTTACATTTATCATTGATAATGTTAATTTTATTTGAAACTATATAGTAAAACCTTTATATTACACACATTTCAGCATGTGCATATTTGTTTATTGTTAATGTTATTTTATTGAAGGTTCTTCAAATTGACCCTGATTGTACTATGGCTGATGTCAAGAAGAAATACAGACAGGTAATTGTATAAGTGATTTATTGTCCCCCACGAAACGCATTGCAGGGGACATAGAAATATCGGGTGTCCATCCGTCCGGTCTTGTTAGCGCTCTCAGGTTTACAGTTCTTGCCAGATTTTTATGAAACTTATATCATAGGTTTATATCAGCAATGTCTTGGATGAGTTTGAAAATAGTGCCGTTCAATTATTTTTAAAAGTGTTATGCCCCTTGGAAATATTGATTATATGGAAAATTGCATTGTTAGCACTCATGTGTACAATTCTTGCCAGATTTTAATGAAATTTATATTATAGGTTTATATCGCCAATTTCTCAGACAAATTTGAAAATTGGTGCCGATCAATTATTTTTAAGAGTTATGTCCCTTGGGAACATTAATTAGATGGAAAATTTAATTGTTAGGGCTCTCATGTGTACAATTCTTGCCAGATTTTTATGAAACTTATATCATAGGTTTATATTAGCAATGTCTTGGATGAGTTTGAAAATCAGTGCCGATCAATTATTTTTAAAAGTGTTATGCCCTTGGAAATATTGATTTATATGGAAAATTGTATTGTAAGCACTTATGTGTACAATTCTTGCCAGGTTTTAATGAAATTTATATTATAGGTTTATATCATCAATTTCTCAGACAAATTTGAAAATTGGTGCTGATCAATTATTTTTAAGAGTTATGTCCCTTGGGAACATTAATTAGATGGAAAATTGCATCGTTAGCGCTCTCATGTGTACAATTCTTGCCAGATTTTTATGAAACTTATATCATAGGTTTATATTAGCAATGTCTTGGACGAGTTTGAAAATAAGTGCTCTCATGTGTACAATTCTTACCAGAATTTTATGAAACTCATATCATAGGTTTATATCAGCAATGTCTTTGACACTTTCTAAAATAAGTGCTGATCAAATATTTTTAAAGGAAATCGCATTGCATTTGCTCTGAAGCCTTCATATGTCTGTACGTCCCAAAGTTGGTTTCCGTTCTCTAACTTTAGTTTGCCTCAACCAAATGTTATGAAACTTATTTACAATGCTTATTACCACTAAATACAGATCAAGTTTGAATTTTGGTGGTGTCACTTTTACCGTTCAAGAGGTATGCCCCTTTACAAATGGAAAAATTGCTAAATTTTTCGTTTCTGTTCTCTAACTTAAGTTTGCCTCAACCAAATGTTAGAAAACTTATACACAATGCTTATTACCACAATATACAGATCAAGTTTGAATGTTGGTGCCGTCACTTTTACGGTTCTAGAGTAATGCCCTTTACAAATGGAAAAAATTGCTGAATTTTTCATTTTTTTTTCTAAATATGTTTTTTTAAAATTGGAGTTATCTTTCTTTGTCCATGATTATAGTTGAATCAACTACAATCAATGCTTTATACAATGCAATGTTTAATTTTACCTTCTACTGATAAATTAAAGCAATTTTTACCCTTCATTTCTAAAAATATTTTAAAGTCTTCTTTGAAAATTGGAATTATCTTTCTTTGTGCATAATGGTAGTTGAATCAACTACAACCAATGCTTTATACAATGCAATATTCAATTTTACTTCCTACTGATAAATTAAAGCATTCTTAACCATGCAGTGCTTACAAGCACTTTGATTACTGTTCTAGAGTTATGCCCATTTACAAATGAAAAAATTGCTGAATTTTTCGTTTCCGTTCTCTAACTTTAGTTTGTCTTAAATTAATGTAATGAAATGTATATAATGCTTTTTACCACAAAACTCAGTTTAATTTGTTTCCGTTCTCTTACTTTAGTTTGCCTCAACCAAATATTATGAGACTTATACACAATGCTTATTACCACATAATACAGATCAAGTTTGTAATTGGGTGGTGTCACTTTTACAGTTCTTTAGTTATGCCCCTTTATAAACATAAAAATTGATGAATTTTCCGCTTCCATTCTCTAACATTAGTTTGCCTCAACCAAATGTTATGAAACTTATACACAATGCTTATTACCACTTAATACAGATCTAGTTAGAAATTGGGTGGTGTCACTTTTACTGTTCTTGAGTTATTCCCCTTTATAAACAAAAAAAAAATTGCTGAATTATTTGTTTCCGTTCTCTAACTTTAGTTTACCTCAACCAAATGTTATGAGACTTATACACAATACTTATTACCACAAAACTCGGATCAAGTACAAATTTAGGAAGAGTCGCTTTTACCGTTCTTCAGTTATGTCCTTTATATCTTTATATGATATGCAAGGGGGGGGGGGCATCATCTGTGTCCATGCATGGACACAATCCACATTTATTTTAGTTATTGCCCTTGGATAGATGAAATATGTGCAACGCAGGGGACATTGGAACTCTTTTTCTTTTATAAACTTAAGGGTAAAGTTGCAACGTTTACACCCCAGGGATAATTCTTGTTATCAAATAACTCTGCTCTATGTATATGATATTTATATTATAATTCCTAATGTATTGGGCACAGAGACTGATAAATGGTAACAACAATATTTTAGTCTTATAAAGTAACCCTTAAAGCTGCATTGTACATATATAACAGTTGACAAAATACAAATAGGGAAGTGAGATACATGTAAATGTATAAAAACTAGTGTTGTCAACGGTTAGTGGGTTAACCCTCAGAAGAACCGAATATCCAATACCAAAAACCCTAACCGGTTAAGCGGATCTTTTTTTCAAATTTAATAGGAATGATATAAATGTGTATTGATATCATTAATATGTTTTGTTGAATTTTAAAATCATCGTCCTGTTACTTAATGTAACAAATTAATTGTCCAGTATATTGATTACTATTGTTAACTTTGAAAACATTCCAATTTAAAAAAAAAAGATAACTTTTTGATCAGCTCGGGGCAAGATCTAAAGTAAACATAATTAGCATACATGTATTTTGAACAGTTGTAGAATTGAGAATGTAAGCTGATTTAATTTTTGTCGAGCCTGCGACTTTTGTTGCAGAAAGCTCGACATAGGGATAGTGATCCGGCGGTGGCGCGGCGGCGTTAGCTAACTTCTTAAAAGCTTTATATTTTAGAAGGTGGAAGATCTGGATGCTTCATACTTTGTATATGGATGCCTCATGTTACAAAGTTTTCGTCAGTCACATGTCCAATGTCCTTGACCTCATTTTCATGGTTCAGTGACTACTTGAAAAAAAAGTTAAGATTTTTTGTAATGTTAAATTCTCTCTTATTATAAGTAATAGGATAACTATATTTGGTATGTGCGTACCTTGCAAGGTCCTCATGCCTGTGAGACAGTTTTCACTTGACCTCGACCTCATTTCATTGATCAGTGAACAAGGTTAAGTTTTGGTGGTCAAGTCCATATCTCAGATACTATAAGCAATAGGTCTAGTATATTCGGTGTATGGAAGGACTGTAAGGTGTACATGTCCAACTGGCAGGTGTCATCTGACCTTGACCTCATTTTCATGGTTCAGTGGTTATAGTTAAGTTTTTGTGTTTTGGTCTGTTTTTCTTATACTGTATGCAATAGGTCTACTATATTTGGTGTATGGAATGATTGTAAGGTGTACATGTCTAGCTGGCAGGTGTCATCTGACCTTGACCTCATTTTCATGGTTCAGTGGTCAAAGTTAAGTTTTTGAGTTTTGGTCTTTTTTTCTAATACTATATGCAATAGTTCAACTATATTTGGTGTATGGAAATATTTTATGATCTATATGTCAGTCACGCAGGTTTTATTTGACCTTGACCCCATTTTCAAGATTCAAGCTTTTGTGTTTTGGTCTGTTTTTCTTAAACTATAAGCAATAGGTCAACTATTTGTTGTATGGAAGAATTTTTAGCTGTACATGCCTGCCTAGCATGGTTCATCTGACCTTGACCTCATTTTCATAGTTCATTGGTCAATGTTTAGTTTACTTGGTTAATGTTAAGTTTATGTGACAGTTGTAATAAAGCTTTATATTTAGGACTATCAACATAATATCAATGATTAGTAAAGAAGGCGAGACATTTCAGCGTGTGCACTCTTGTACAATTTACTTCATTATTTCACTTTGATTTACATGCGATATTGCTTAGACCTACATATGAATATGACACTTCTATCGTCCAAGGCTATGTCATACGTTAACTGTTAAACGGAATGCTGACTCAAAAATGGTGAAATGCAAATTATGTAAATGAATTCAATATATACTGCGGGGTATGAGTAACATGCTTAATCACCTCAAATTGAAACGCTCCACAGAGTTTTCTGAGACACCAGAATAAATGAAACAATCACTGGTTTCAGACTTTGTCAATTCGCTGACATCAAGAAGATTTTCATCTTCACAATCTAAAGTTATTACAAATGCCATATTAGATATAGTATTATGGGATTATTAAAAGTAAAACTTTACCAGGAATGCTCATAGCCAAGCTTTATAATGCCTAAAGATAAAGTTCAATTCATCATATCATAAAATCATTCATTTGTAGAGTACTGTAAATAAGGCCTTCAACCATCAACTAAACTACTGGTTAACTGGTTAATCTGTCGAAAGATTATCTGAGTAACGCGTTGGGCAAAACTGTTCAATTTGAAAACTATCACACATTCATAGTGTGGTAGGGTGTGAAATCTTTACCAAAATTAGCTGCACTGTATACAAATCTCAAATTCAAAAGATATAAGCCTTGCGACAAATACTGACCAATCCATAAAATATTATCAGACAGGGTTTATTGGACCTCAACCTCATTTCATGGATCAGTGATCAAGGTTAAAGTTATGTGATTGGTTCTGTGTCTCAGATTCTTAAAGCAGAAGGTCAACTATATTTTGTATCTATAATGATTATTAGGTGTACATGTCAGTTTGGCAGGTTTCATCTGACCTTAACCTCATTTTCATGGTTTTTTGGTTAATGTTAAGTTTTTGTGTTTTGGTGTGTTTTTCTAAAAATATAAGCAATAGGTCAAATATATTTGGTGTATGGAATAATTATTGTAAGGTGCAATGTCTGTCTGAGAGGATTTATCTGACCTTGTCCTCATTGTCATAGATCTTTAAAAATATTAAGTTTATGTAATACTTTTAGTAAAACCATTATCTTTAAGAATTCCAACATAATACCAATGGTCAGTAAAGCAGGTGAGACATTTCGGCGTGTGCACTCTTGTTTTTGTCATTTTCAATTTTCTTGAAACCCTAGTATCCCATGTATGTGTTACTCGCATGAATATATCACTGTGAAATTGACATAGTGTTTACATAGGTTATGAAAGTAGTTTCGAAGTAAAAACCAAGGAAAAAGTTCTAACAAACCAATTAAATTCAAGTAATTGTTGATATGCAAATCATATGCAAATCATAATTTTATAATCTAAATTTGAAATTTACAGACAAATAATATTCTTTTAAATCATGCCAATACCAGTCCACTACTTCAGGCTACTCAGCAGATGTCACCCTTGGGGTTTAATAGTCAAACAACAGCAGTATTAACCTAGTGGTAGTAAAAAATTAAATGGTTTACTTGTACACAACAATTTTTTCTGGAAAAACTGAAAATAAGCTCATGATGTTAAGTTTGGAAGCCAAAAATTAAAAAAGTTTGAGATTATTAAAAACCAGAAGGGACTAAAATCCACAGACAATCTATGAATTCTTATTACACAACTGTTGCTGACCTTTAACTTATAGTATTAGATAAACTGACCTAAGTAGGCAAACTTTCTGATGATCGCTGAACTATTACGGTCAAGGTCAGCGTGTGCACTCTTGTTTACAGTTAACATTCAGATTTAGTCTGATGTTAAAGTTTTTCAGTCATCAATGACTTTGTCAACCCTTCATGGAATTTGGGGAAATTTAGACTGAAGCTTAGCTATGACCAAAATACAGTATTCAGAGCAAAATTTTAAAAATATTTTTATTTTAATTTTTCCGTATTTAACTGATAAATGGACTTGGTTTTTTTTAAATTTAACAAATAGAGATACAGTCTGGATTAAAATTTGAAACACATCAATTACTTTATCAAACCTTCATAGAATTTTATGAAACTTTGGCAGAAGCTTTTTGTCGATTCAGAGATAATGTCTGAAGCAAACTTTTGAAAATATATTTTTTTCATTTTCAGAATTTTTATGATAGATGGACTTAGTTTTTTACAGTTAACATTTACAGACAGTCTGGAATTAAATTTTTTTGACATGATGAATTTTTAAACCTTCATGGATTGCTATGAAACTTGGACAGAAGGTTATCTTTAAGACCATGAAATAGCATCTAAAGAAAAAGTTAGATTTTTATGCCCCTGCCGTAGCGGAGGGGGCATTAAGTTTTACCCTTAACCGTCTGAACGTCTGTCCATCTTGGTTTCCGTTCTCTAAGTTTAGTTTGCCTCAACCAAATGTTATGAAACTTATACACAATAATTATTACCACAAAACAAAGTTGAATTTAGGTGGCTTTACTTTTACCTTTCTAGAGTTATTATAAAAAGAAGATGTGGTATGATTGCCAATGAGACAACTCTCCACAAGAGACCAAGCGACACAGAATTTAACAACTATAGGTCACCGTACAGCATTCAACAATGAGCAAAGCCCATACCGCACAGTAGGCTATAAAAGGCCCCGAAATGATAAATGTAAAACAATTCAAACGAGAAAACTAACGGCCTAATTTATGTACAAATTAATGAACGAAAAAACAAATATGTTACACAGCAACAAACGACAACCACTGAATTACAGGTTCCTGACTTGGGACAGGCACATACAGAATGTGGCGGGGTTAAACTAGTTTGAAAGCGTCAACCCTCCCCATAACCTGGGACAGTGGCCCCTTTACAAATGGAAAAATTGCTGTTTTTTGTTTCCGTTCTCTAACTTAAGTTAGCCTCAACCAAATGTTATGAAACTTATACATAATGCTTATTACCACAAAACTCAGATCAAGTTCGAATTTGGGTAGAGTCACTTTTGCTGTTTTTACTGAGTTATGTTCCTTTTTAACGTTATATGCATACGGGGCATCATTTGTGTCCCATGGACACATTCCCCATTTATTTTTTTAAATTCTGTATTTTACTGATAAATGGACTCACTTTTTCAGCCAACATTACACTGACAGCAGCAATGGCAGGCAAGACACATGGTTCTGCGAAACCCCTTACAAATTTTTTATTTAAGAAAGATTAAGAAAAAATTAGTTAAAATTGCTCTATTATTTGACTAAAAAATAGACTAAATTATTTGTAATTTTACTGTCGGAGGTTATAAAACTATTTTAAACCGAGAATTTGATTAAACATTTTTTATGCCCCACCTACGATAGTAGAGGGGCATTATGTTTTTCAGTCTGTGCGTCCATTTGTTCGTCCCTCCGTCTGTTCGTCCGTCCGTCTGTCCCGCTTCAGGTTAAAGTTTTTGGTCAAGGTAGTTTTTGATGAAGTTGAAGTCCAATCAACTTGAAACTTAGTACACATGTTCCCTATGATATGATCTTTCTAATTTTAATGCCAAATTAGAGTTTTTATCCCAATTTCACGGTCCACTGAACATAGAAAATGATAGTGAGAGTGGGGCATCCATGTACTATGGAAACATTCTTGTTTTATTTCATTTGTTTCAGTTGTCAATATTAGTCCATCCTGACAAGAACCAAGCTGATCCAGATCGATCACAGAAATCATTTGAAGGTAACTAATCATTTATAGAGATGCCTCTTAAAACTAAATTGATACAGAAAAAAAAGCCTTAATTAAATAATATTTAATATTTGGCAGATTGGATGAAAACCAAAACCAGTTTATAGTATGGTGATGTTGGGCAGGCGATCAGCAGGGAAAGTGGGTACCTAATTTGTGTAATCAACAACAATTTTCAACCCAGACCTCTGACATTTTACAGGAAGATTGCTCATATGCACCTGCTATTATGGAATTGTTTGAGGAATTTTTATATACTTGACGAAGACGCAATGTTTTATGGTATACTAATGTCTGTCCGTTAAAACTTCGTAGGATAACTACAATTTGCTTTAACCAATTGTCATATAACTTTAAACCAACCATGGAATTGACAGAAGAAAAGCTTCCTTTTTATTTATTTTTTTACTTTGTCATTCCATATACATGTACGGAACTTTGACCCTTAGATTTAAGGCAATTTTTCACAAATCACACACACTACAAACTGCTCCGAGTCTAAAAAGACCAGTTTTTGTGCTCGACCAGTAAAGTCGAGCACACATTTTACTCGACTAGTCTCGACATTGTCTCGACAGTACTTAACTGTACTTAATTGTACTCTACTAGGTCTCGACTTTTCTTAATTAGCCTGATTCAGTACTTGATGATCTTGGTGTAGTCTGAAATGGTCTCGACCAAGGCTCGACCAGTCTCGACCTGTCTTAACCAGTCTCGACTCAGTCTCAACCAGTCTCGACCTGTCTCGACTAATCTGGACCTTCAAATTTAGTCTTCACTGGTGTAAATCAGCTCATCTAACTAAATTATATATAGATCTTACAAACTACCAATCTATTTCATTGCTGTGAAATGAAAGAATTTAATTAATAGGTAAAAAAAAAAGATTAAATTCAGATAGGCATCTTTATTTTTTTTATAACTTTTTCAAATCAACTTGGATTTTCATCAAACTATGAAGCTATCTTAGTAATGTATTGATCTTACTGAATCCCAGGTCATTATGTTGTTTGATGTATTGCTGTCAAATTTAAGATTTAAATTAATCTAGGTAAAAAAAGCTAGGATTTGCAGTTCAGACAAAATTCAGACAGTACACTTTAATTTTTTTTATAACTTTTTCAAATCAACTTGGATTTTCATCAAACTATACAGCTATCTTAGTAATATATTGATCTTACTGAATCACAGGTCATTATGTAGTTTGGTGTATTGCTGTCAAATTTAAGGATTAAATTAAATCTAGGTAAAAAAGCTAGAATTTGCAGTTAGGACTATATTCAGATAGTACACTTTAACTCTTTTAATAACTTTTTCAAATCAACTTGGATTTTCATCAAACTATGAAGCTATCTTAGTAATATATTGATCTTACTGAATCCCAGGTTATTATGTTGTTTGATGTATTGCTGTCAAATTTAAGATTTAAATTAATCTAGGTAAAAAAAGCTAGGATTTGCAGTTCAGACAAAATTCAGACAGTACACTTTAATTTTTTTTATAACTTTTTCAAATCAACTAGGATTTTCATCAAACTATACAGCTATCTTAGTAATATATTGATCTTACTGAATCACAGGTCATTATGTAGTTTGGTGTATTGCTGTCAAATTTAAGAATTAAATTAATCTAGGTAAAAAAGCTAGAATTTGCAGTTAGGACTATATTCAGATAGAACACTTTAATTCTTTTAATAACTTTTTCAAATCAACTTGGATTTTCATCAAACTATACAACTGTCTTAGTAATATATTGATCTTACTGAATCCCAGGTTGTTATGTAGTTTGGTGTATTGCTGTTAAATTTAAGATTCAAATTAACCTAGGTAAAAAAAGCAAGAATTTGCAATTTCGGACAAAATTCAGACAGTACACTTTAATTTTTTTTATAACTTTTTCAAATCAACTAGGATTTTCATCAAACTTTACAGCTACCTTGGTAATATATTGATCTTACTGAATCACAGGTCATTATGTAGTTTGGTGTATTGCTGTCAAATTTAAGAATTAAATTAATCTAGGTAAAAAAGCTAGAATTTGCAGTTAGGACTATATTCAGATAGTACACTTTAATTCTTTTAATAACTTTTTCAAATCAACTTGGATTTTCATCAAACTATACAACTATCTTAGTAATATATTGATCTTACTGAATCCCAGGTTGTTATGTAGTTTGGTGTATTGCTGTTAAATTTAAGATTCAAATTAACCTAGGTAAAAAAAGCTAGGATTTGCAATTTCGGACAAAATTCAGATAGTACACTTTAATTTTTTTTATAACTTTTTCAAATCAACTAGGATTTTCATCAAACTATACAGCTATCTTAGTAATATATTGATCTTACTGAATCATAGGTCATTATGTAGTTTGGTGTATTGCTGTCAAATTTAAGGATTAAATTAAATCTAGGTAAAAAAGCTAGAATTTGCAGTTAGGACTATATTCACATAGTACACTTTAACTCTTTTAATAACTTTTTCAAATCAACTTGGATTTTCATCAAACTATGAAGCTATCTTAGTAATATATTGATCTTACTGAATCCCAGGTCATTATGTTGTTTGATGTATTGCTGTCAAATTTAAGATTTAAATTAATCTAGGTAAAAAAAGCTAGGATTTGCAGTTCAGACAAAATTCAGACAGTACACTTTAATTTTTTTTATAACTTTTTCAAATCAACTAGGATTTTCATCAAACTATACAGCTATCTTAGTAATATATTGATCTTACTGAATCACAGGTCATTATGTAGTTTGGTGTATTGCTGTCAAATTTAAGAATTAAATTAATCTAGGTAAAAAAGCTAGAATTTGCAGTTAGGACTATATTCAGATAGAACACTTTAATTCTTTTAATAACTTTTTCAAATCAACTTGGATTTTCATCAAACTATACAACTGTCTTAGTAATATATTGATCTTACTGAATCTAAGGTTGTTATGTAGTTTGGTGTATTGCTGTTAAATTTAAGATTCAAATTAACCTAGGTAAAAAAAGCAAGAATTTGCAATTTCGGACAAAATTCAGACAGTACACTTTAATTTTTTTTATAACTTTTTCAAATCAACTAGGATTTTCATCAAACTTTACAGCTACCTTGGTAATATATTGATCTTACTGAATCACAGGTCATTATGTAGTTTGGTGTATTGCTGTCAAATTTAAGAATTAAATTAATCTAGGTAAAAAAGCTAGAATTTGCAGTTAGGACTATATTCAGATAGTACACTTTAATTCTTTTAATAACTTTTTCAAATCAACTTGGATTTTCATCAAACTATACAACTATCTTAGTAATATATTGATCTTACTGAATCCCAGGTTGTTATGTAGTTTGGTGTATTGCTGTTAAATTTAAGATTCAAATTAACCTAGGTAAAAAAAGCTAGGATTTGCAATTTCGGACAAAATTCAGATAGTACACTTTAATTTTTTTTATAACTTTTTCAAATCAACTAGGATTTTCATCAAACTATACAGCTATCTTAGTAATATACTGATCTTACTGAATCATAGGTCATTATGTAGTTTGGTGTATTGCTGTCAAATTTAAGGATTAAATTAAATCTAGGTAAAAAAGCTAGAATTTGGAGTTAGGACTATATTCAGATAGTACACTTTAACTCTTTTAATAACTTTTTCAAATCAACTTGGATTTTCATCAAACTATACAACTATCTTAGTAATATATTGATCTTACTGAATCCCAGGTTGTTATGTAGTTTGGTGTATTGCTGTTAAATTTAAGATTCAAATTAATCTAGATAAAAAAAGCTAGGATATTTGAAATATATCTTTTATTATAATTTGGGATAAAGTATATATGATATAGTTATATAATTTCTTAAATGTTTTATCTTTTTTTTATATATATAATATGAATATATCAAAAAGGGATCAAACTTTAAAGAAATTATTAAAATATTTCTTCTGATTAGTGGTGATGTATAAAGCAATACCTCCTGCTTGGGGAAACTTATTTAAAAGATCACACCTACCAGAGAGTATTAAATTCTAAATAACATTCATTCAAAATTGCAACATCCTGTTAAAATTAAATCGCAGGGCTTTTTGAATTCACTAGATAAGTAATACACGAGTTTAAGAAAGTAGGGCTTTCTTTTTACCTGTAAAACTCACTTGTACTGAGGTAATTAAACCATATTAAAGAGGTTCTTGTATGCCATGTCTTTAAATTTGACAAAAATTATTTTTAGATATGATTTAAATACATTTTTACTGTAACTTTGGAACACATTTCCTTTTTTAAAAGGTTATCAAGGATTGTTATGAAAGTTCATAATATTAAATTCTTGTTTTAACAAAAAAAGGTGTCTTTTTTTAAAATTTCATAACCTTTTTCAAATCAGCTTGGTTTTTTATCAAACTTTTCAGCTATCTTTATTATATATTTATCATGCAAAAAAACAGGTTGTTTTGTATGTTGGTGTATTACCAAGACATATATACACAGAGATTGGCAACTGTAACAGTGGTCAGCGAAATCCAATTAAAAACATGCATCACACGAGACTTTAACGAGATCGCCATTTTGTATCTGATCATGACAAGTTCACCACCGCTTCGATTTTTATTTTACATCAAGCATTTCAAAACAGCATAATGTAAGTATATATTTCAATTTCGTAAATTATTTATCTTGTTTTATTCAGTTTGAAGTAATTGTTAGTTAAAATATTGTGACGATTAACGTTTTATTGTGGTCAATAATAAGAGGAAAGCTTGGCCGACATGGACGCTATGAAATTTTTTTACACGGACGTATTTATATTAAAACCTTTTCATTCGAAAAGGAATAAAACCATTTAAGAGATGAATCACTTTTCCCAAGACATACTGGTTTTGTGTAAGTATGTTGAATTTTTCATTAAATCACCCACTTTGATGCAATATTACAATTAAAATTCAGTATTCTCGCTGTCGGTCACGTTCAATTTTTTAAATATAAAGACAGGCCCCTGTCCATG